TTTTTCAGTCTCAAATTAAATTTTTAATTTCAAATATAAGTAAAATTGAAAGAAAGTCTATAATCCTTTGTCCTTACTACAACCTGTACTGTTGATATAAATTTTTTTGATCATTTGAAAACTTGCTTCTCAATTGTTCTATGCAATATTTAATTATGATTTAAATTGTTATTCCTTATATTACAAATGCAAAGTACATTCATTACAAGAAATTTCAAAATACAAATAAGAAAAAAAATAATCCATCTCTACTTTTATCATTTTCTTCCTCCTTATGTTAAAGAACTTTTGGATGTCCTCACATGGGGGCATATACATAGCATTTTGCAATCTACTTTGTCCCATCTGTTCCCATGTTTTAAATACACACTCTGCATTGATGGTTAGAGCATAGACAACTTCATTTTCCCCCTGCCACCATGTAAATAATATGTGAGTACCCTAGAAGATTCTTCAGCAAATCCAGAGTTGTTTTTCCTTAGAACAAATTTCTAGCTTATGGACAGTTCCTACCCTTTAGTTGACTTTAAATCACTGTGCCTTGAGTGTGACCCAGAAGGAAGCATCTCCAGCCAATGTGCAGAGACACAACAGAAGCAGAAGCTAAATGCAGACGTAGGTTATGTACTCACCTTTCCCTTGGTGCCCATCTTCCTTAGGCAGCTTGTTTTGGAAGTGTCTTTCTGACTGGCCTTTCACCTCTACCCAGAATGCTCTGTGTCCTGTACTGAGGACTCTGAATAAATAATAGCATTCCTGCTGGCTGGTTGTCCAATCACAGCCCTGCCTGACTCCTGCTGTGACATTTGTACTGTCATAGTTCATCTACAAACTCATCGCTTCCAGCTGGCAGCAAGACTTTTTTTTAATTAGCTCTTTTCTTATCTTTTATTACAGTATATTAAGTAGAGGATAGTGCATTAGTGTAAGGCTGAGTCACAAATAACTACTAATCAAAGGCATTTCAATTGCTCTAGAACGTCCCTCTCACCCGTTCTTCTCTTCTACACCCGGATAATTTCCTTGCAATTTGTGATTTTACTGCATATTTTGCTTCCCTACCTAATAGTTTAGTTTTGTTTATTACTAAGTTTGTGTGAATAGACTCATATATATGTATATCCTTCCATGTGTCTCCCCCTTAATTCCCTTTGCTGATCGTTCCCAGTGCCTTTGTTTATTTATTTTATGTGTATGGGTGTTTTGACTGCATTTGTGTGTGTAGCACCTGGGGGCTTGGTGTCCATGCAAGCCAGAGGGATTGTCAGAACTCATAGGATTGGAGTCATAGACAGTTGTGAGCTGCCATTTAGGTTCTAGGAATTGAACCAGCTCCTCTGGAAGAGTGGCCAGTACTCTTAATTGCTGAGCCATCTTTCCAGTCATCCACAGTGCCTTTGATTGCAGTTGATTTTTCTTATTGTTGAGCATTACACTGTTTCAACTCACCATAATTTATGCATTCCCCCTTTTATGCTGTTTTTTCTTTTTGCTCATGGTGAGTCAGTGTCTGCATAAAATTTCTCTTCGTGAGCCTTGCTGCACATGCTCGAGTCTGCTGAGGGGACATTCAGGACTGGTGCAGCCAGCACATACTAACAAGGCAACACTGACTGTTGGGACACAGAAACACTTTTGTTTCAGGTGCTAAAAAGCCACTGGCTCCAGAGCTGCCCGAGTCGCTTTTAGCTGCTGCAGTCAGGGAGTCCTGTAGTCACTGCTGGGGAACAACTCTCATTGCCCCTCTGGATGTGCGGGCCTGACAAGCAGTCCCAGCGGCTCTGGGCCTCACAGTGTCCTCCACAGACAGCAGTGATGCAGCCCCTGAGGACCAGTGCCTAGTGCCTGCCTGACCTGGACCCTGGCCACTGATGCCGTGGGCCAGAGTCATTTATGATGGCTGTTTGAGACAAGGAATGTCTCCAACTGACTACCAACTCAATTAAAAAATTAAATTTTATTTTTAGATTTACAACCTTAGACCTATGTATAAAATCATGTATCCATCCTCAGACAATGAGTGGAAGAGTTCACATCTCCCAAGTTCTTCCTGCTGCATCTTCTCTAAAGTTCTGCCCTACAGCTGAGTAGTTTTCCCTCTGTAGTCTGGCTGTAATCCGACTGCGTCCTGATTGACAGCTCTTTTGGCTGCTGTGGGAATGGCCAGATGTGCAACTGTGATGGTCAAAGTGACTCATGTTTACAAACTAACTGGACTTATGAGTGACAGGATGGGGAAACTCATGCTTAGTCACCAGACTTAAATTTGATCCTATGGTGGTACATAAGGATACATAATTCTTTATGATCTTTGTTTCCCTGACCATCATTGAGGATAAGCAGTTTGGTATTCTGGAGTCAGGTCACAGTGCTTATTAGTTGGTTAATGAGGGATTCATAAAGGTCATTGTTACACAGTTTTCATTTCTTATAGTACTTTTTACTTTGCATATTTAAAATTGTTTATTACATTTAGTGTGTGTGTATGTGTATATGTGTATGTATTTCAGTGTGTGTGTTGGTGTGTGTGTGTGTGTATGTGTGTGTGTGTGTGTGTGTGTGTGTGTGTGTAGGCTGGGAGAACCTGAAGGGCTAAATTCTCTCCCTTAACTGTAATGGGCTCTGGGAATTGAACTCAAGTGGTCGGCTTGGAGGCAATCGTCTTTACCTGCCGAACCATCTCGCCGACCCTGCTTTACATATTTTACACTTTGATCATATGAAAGCTCTGTATTCTGTGTATTACAAGTTTAATATGTTTTTGCCAGCATTTCTTGTTGGTGTGGTTCTCTTTAGCTATGTCAATCTTTTTCATGTTCCCATAGTATTCACTCACTCTTCTTGACTTCAGTAGTTTAATGTAGAATAAAGGTATTTTGTCCAACTTTTTAAAGTACACAGCATGTTTTCTCTGCCACATGTTTATTTTTTGTTGCTGTTCTTTTGAGATAAGTTTTCTCTACATAGCCCTGGCTGTCCTGGAACTCAGTATGCAGACAAGGCTGGTTTCAAACTCAGAGATCTGCCTGCCTCTGCCTTTTGAGTGCTGGTTTGTTTGATTTTATAGCATGCCTGGCCTATTCCACTTTTCAGGACCCCATCCTTCATTTTGCAATTCACTGGGTTCCATCTTTATCCTTCTACTTAAACATTTTTTAAAAAGGTTATTAGTAGTCTCCTTGTAAATCAAACTAAACCTTCCAAACACCTATCCTTTTATAAAATTTCTCTGTAGCAGTGAGCTTTTCTATAGCCCTTATCATCTCTGTGTTCAGTATACTGTAGTCCTTCCTTCCTTCTTTCCTCCCTTCCTTCTTTCTTTCCTTCCTCCCTCCCTCCCTCTCCTCCTTTTCCATCTTCCTTCCTCCATTCCACTCTCCCTTCTCTCCATCCAATCCTCCATCCTCTTCCTTCTCATCTCCCTCTCCTTCCTTCCCAACTTCCCTGGTGCTCTAGGCTGGACCTGCTAATTGCTTATAGACATCTCTATTTCAAGTGTTTATGTTCACAAAACAATCCGTCTCCTTTCTTCAAACTTGAAAATAGCTCTCTCTTACTGTGGCTTTGACATGAGAGTCTCTATTCTTTTTCTCATGGTTCTCAAGCTCCCTTGGCTGTCCTCTCTACAGCACTGACCAGCTCTGTGCACCCCCTTTCATTTCCGTCTTCCCACTGTTACTAATCTGCAGATAGGCTTCTCATTATTTCTTGTTTGCACTGTGGTAGTAATCTTGATATGGAGTCTCCTGTTGGCACAGCTCTGTCTGCAGTCCCTGTTTCAAAACACTAGATTCATATTCCTAGTAGTTTCCTTTTAAAAACCTTTTCTCTCTCCTTTTCTAGTTTTTAAAAAGTCAGATACCTCTTCTAGTCTAAAAGTATTCAGAGTTCTCTAAATCTTTCCAAATGAACCTCAAACCCTACTCAGGTGTTCACGAACCCTTATCCACACACTAAGCTATGTTAACCCTTGCCCTTGAGGTTCCTGACTTATGTTTTGTAGCTAGAGTTTTCCTGCCTTGCCCACAATCAGGACAAATCTCTCTCACCCACCAGTCCCACAGCCGCTCAGACCCAACCAAGTAAACACAGAGACTTATATTGCTTACAATCTGTATGGCCGTGGCAGGCTTCTTGCTAACTGTTCTTATATCTTAGATTAATCCATTTCTATAAATCTATACCTTGCCACATGGCATGTGGCTTACTGGCATCTTCACATTCTGCTTGTCCTGGCGGCAGTTGGCAGTGTCTCCTTCCGCCTTCCTGTTCTTTATTTTCTCCTCTGTTAGTCCCGTCTATACTTCCTGCCTAACCACTGGCCAATCAGTGTTTTATTTATTGACCAATCAGAGTAATTTGACATACAGACTATCCCACAGCACAGAATGCGGCCTAGTGCATTCTGCCCTCCTCTGACTCTCTTGCTTCTGTGCTGCCCTAAGTAGACCTCTCCCACAGCTGTCCCTCCTACTAGACTCTGCGGTAGCCGTCAGCCATATAGGCTCTGTCTTCCCCACTCCGTCCTGGCCCACTCTATAGGCACACCGAGATAGCCACATGAGCCCCAACTGATTTCCTGTTCATGTTCTGTTATTTGTACCTGCCTGTACAACCCCATCTACCACAAGAAGAAGCTTCTATGATGTCTGGTGAACTAGGCATGATCTGTGGGTATAGTAGTATGTCATAAGGATTGAGATGGCATTTTATATGCTGCTCCTAGAGAATTTCAGGGTCCTGGAAAACACCAGGTACTGTGTAAATGCTGGTCAAGTTATGCGTCTGCCGAGGGATCACAATGAACATGAACACAGATAGGCATCAATACACCTTCCCATGTGCTTGTGGTGCTGCATTTCCATCACCGTCTTTGATTGCTTTCTCTCTCTCTCTCTCTCTCTCTCTCTCTCTCTCTCTCTCTCTC